AAAAAAAAAACAAGTTGTATTCCAGTGGAGAGACCAGAGCCTCACACACAACTGGTGGGAACCTGAAAGAGGGCAGCCACTGTGGAAACAGGCAGGCAGTTGGTCAGAAGGGTAAACGTGATTTCCATGTGATCTAGCGATTCTGCTCATAGGTGTCCACCCAAGAGAGATGAAAGTTCATGTCCTCACAGAAAACCTGCACACCCAGTGCTCACGGCGGCATGACTCACAAGAGCCAAAAAGTGGAAACACCCAAATGCCCATCGATGGGTAAATGGATAAACACAAGGAGGCCCGCGTGCACACGGGCACGTTACTCGGCCGGGAGCACATCTGCCCACATCTGCCGCCCTGAGGACGGACCCTGAACACACGACGCTCAGGGAGGGACCCAGACACGAGAGGCCACACGGGGTGTGAGTCCGCGTGTGTGAAATGTCCAGAACAGGCTCATCCACAGACGGGAAGGGGGCTCATGGGGGCTGGGGAGAGGTGGGGCGTGAGTGCTAGGGGAGGTGGGGTTGCTTTGGGACTGATGGAATATTCAAAAATTGGTTGTGGTGATGGCTGCACAACTCTGTGAATGCACTAAAACCCATCCAGTTGTCCACTTTTAAAGGGTAAGTTGAGGTAGGTGAATTATATCTCAATTAAAGAAAATGTTTTAAATTTCATCCTAAGAGAGCAGAAGGATCACTAGGTAAGAATTCACGTTTTGAGACGAGCAATCTGCCTGTGGCCTGAAGGCTGTATGATAAGACATGGGAAAGCAGGGGGCAGTTACAAGGCACCACCATCCAGACCAGGGATCAACACACTTTTCCTCTAACCAAGACAGGCAAGATCTTTGGCTTTTTGGGGCCCAGACACTCTCTGGCCCAGCTACTCAACTTGGCCTGAGGCAGCTCAAGAGGTGCCACAGGGGACAGGTGAATTAATGGATGTGGCTGTGTGCCGATAAAGCTTTGTTTATGGACACCGAAATAAACATTTCGTATAATCTTCACGTACCATGAAATATTTTTCTTTTGACTTTCTCCAACCATTTAAAACTGTAAAAACTATTTTTAGTTTGTGTACTGTATAAAAACAGGTAACAAATTTGGCCCATGGGTGTCAGCTTGCTGATTTAAGCCCCATACCCTAAAGCTCTGTCCAGAAGTACAACACGAAGCTTCATGCATAATTTAAAATTATCTAGCCACTGTGTTAAGGAAAAGGAAACAGGTAGGCTTAATTTTAATATATTTTACTTAACCCACGGTATCCAGAATATTATCATTTGATGTCATCAGCATAGATAAAGTGGGTATTAATGAGACTTTTCACCTCTTTTTGTGTTGAGTCTTCAAAACCCGGGTGTGTTTTACACTCACATCTCAATGCATTTGCTAAATTGTCACCAGGAATACTTAATCCGTGTGTAGATTCCATAAATGTACATGCGTAAGTTGCCCCAAGTATTCTTGAGAGTTTTCTGGTAACTGTGCAGAGTATCTGTTTTTAAATCTAAGTGTGAATTAACTGAAATGTAAAAACCAGTCCCCCTGTGGCACCAGCCGTGCCATGTGTCAAATGCTCCGTCATCACGTGTGACCCGTGGCTGCCACGTGGGGCAGGGCAGGTAAAGAACATTTCCCAGATTTGTGTGCTGTTCTGTGGGCCAGTGCAGGTCTGAATGTGCGTGAGGGGGACATAGGCTCGGAGAGTGGACAGAAGAGAAGCAGGTCAGAGGGAGTTTTAGGCGGGAGACCTGTGTATCATGTGCTTTGGCGCGGTGAGCGTCAGGTTTAGCAGCCAAGCCGGGACACTGTGAACAGGGATGCTGTTAGTGACTCCACTGAGAGCAGGTAAACGGAGACATCTGGTAGCCCTAGGTATAGGTCACATAATGTGCCGGGGGACTCTCCGGACCCCCAACCTTGGTGCTGCTGGGGACAGCATCTGGAGTAACACCTATCCCGGTGCCCAGGATGAGGGCCCTTCAGTGCTAAACCGGAGACTGTGGATAGTGGTCACTCGAACAGCACACGAAGGACAAGCAAGTTCCTAATGGCGTCTGGTTGCCCAAAGCAGAGTTTATTTTAATGTAAAAATTCATGTCAAATGTAATTAGCCATTTTTAAAGTAAACACTTCAGGGGTGTTTAGCATATTCACAAAATTGTGCAGCCATCACCTCTGTCTAGTTCGGGGATGTTCCACCAACCCCAAAAGCAACCCCATCCCCATTAGCTGTCACTCCCCAGCCTCCTGCACCCATGAAGCCCTTTCTTGTCTGAGGATGTGCCTGTTCTGGACGTTTCACACGCGGGAACCACACTCTCGTGTCTGGTTCCCGCTCTGAGCGTTGTGTGTCCAGGGTCTGTCCCACAGGCAGCTCGTGTCCGTGCCTCGCTCCCGTCTGTGTGGATGGGCCACATTCTATCCATCCATCTGCTGATGGGGCAGTACTTTCATCCAAATAACTTCCAAGTTTCCCTGTCCCGCACACGGCTCTGTGACTGCCGGGTGTACTGAGTGTAAGAGGAGGCGCGTTTCCGTGCCCTCTCCAACTCTGCGGGTCCCTGTGGGACAGCCGCCCAGCCTGTGGCCTTAGCACGTGCTGCTGTGGTTTCTGTTGCAGTTTGTGAGCAGCTTTCGGGAGACCGAGTTGGAGGCCAGCTGTGTGCGCTGCACCGTGCTAAGTTACAGGTGGGTCAGGGCCTCCTTTCAGGCGAAGGAACCCCGGTGGACACCCAAGAGGTTCCAGAAGATTCCAGCAGGAGCCCTCCTTCCCCAAAGGCTTCTCTCCTCCCTGCAGGGATGGGAATTCCAGCGTCTTCGTGCATTTCCGGCTGCACTTCCTGCTGCAAGCCTCGCAGTCACTGAGTCTGGGCCTAGAGGAGGAGCTGTTGCAGCAGGGACTCCGAGCGAGGCTGCAGGGGCACGGTATCCCCCTGGCTGCCCACGGCACCATTGTGTCCGCCCAGCTCACAGGCAAGTAGGCTATAGACCCTGAAAGACACCGGGGGGAGGCTGTGGGGGAGGTGGCAGCTGAACGTTGCATTAAACTTTAGGTTTTCAACAGCCACTCCCTCCCTTGAAAAGAAAACACAGGCACATTGCTTTACCCTCACTAGTAGACACCAGGTGACAGCAACCTGCAAATGGCCGGAGTGTAAATATTTTCATCCCTGCAGCCCTTTGGGTCTCGGTCGAGGTCACTCAACTCTGCTATTGTCACATGAGAGTTAAAGACAATACATAAATGGGCACTGTTGTGTATCGATAAAACTTTAATGCATAATCAAATGGTAGGCCGCATTTGGCCAGCAGCCATTATTTGCCAGTCCTGGTATAGAAATAAGAGTAAATGCTGTGCTCTAAGATCTGATGGTGCAGATTCCGTATCATGAGCCAAAAACTTCACACAAGATCGGATGATGCAGTTCATCGTGATTTGAGAACCAGACATGAGTTCGTTCAGTCTGTCGTCAGGTTAAAGACTGCTTGCCTTGACCTTGTCCTACTGGACATTTATGCCCTTTGCCCACCAATGCTGACATGCTGGTTGAGTCTCAGTAACCTCGGCGGCAGTGTGACTTGAACTCTCCTCGGTCTTGTGCCTGCACAGTCCACTATGGTGGCCACTAGGCCTGTGTGGCCCTTGAGTGCTTGTCATGCAGCCAGTGAGACCAAGCAACAGAATGATTCGTTGGGTTTCATCTTAACTGATTTAAGTTAGAATTTAAGTGGCTCCCATGATAGACCGTGCAGCTGCCTTGCAATCCGATGTTTTCAAAAAACTACAGAACTCACTGGATGAGCTTGCGTGTCTTGTCCATTTCACTGCAGGAAGCCAAAAAGCGCCGTGGACAGAAAGAGATTTAAAATCAGGTATGTCTTCCCCTCTCCCGCGGAGCTCCCTGCCCTCTGCAGTTTCCAGAGAGTCACCTGGAGAGGTTCCCCAAGACTTCAGACACAGAGGGCTCCCTCCAATGCAGTGAAGGCTAGTTCTGCACACCAGCCTCCCCTGGGGGCCAGGAGGCACGGACTTACAGTCCTGTGTGGGCAAGAGATGGAAAGATGAGACGCTGAAGCGCACGTGGCCAAATACGAGTAAGAGAAAACATTACTGGTGGGTTTTTTTGGAAAAGTGGTAGGGATCTGCTGTTAAAAGACAAAACACAAACAGTTTGGAAAAAAAGAAAAAAGAATGAGCACCACATGGGGTCCTCAAGTAGGGGCGATCCTGGCCCCGAGGGGTGCTGGGTGGTATCCAGGGACATCTGGTAGTAAGGAGCGGGGCTCCTGGCCTGGAGGGGGTGGGGCCAGGAGTGCTGTTCAGCCCCCACAGTGCCCAGGATGCCCTCGCAGAGAACGGTTGGGCCCCACGTGTGTGCCGAACACTTAAAATGGTTAACATGGTAAACTTCACGTTATGTGTGTCTTACTACAACTTAAAAAGTTCGACTTCTTTTTTTAAATACTTTCGTTAATGTTTTATTTATTTCTGAGAGAGAAAAAGACAAAGTGTGAGCAGGGGAGGGGCAAAGAAAGAGAGAGACACAGAATCAGAAGCAGGCTCCAGGCTGAGCTGTCAGTACAGAGCCCGACCTGGGGCTTAAACCCACGAACCGTGAGATCATGACCTGAGCCAAAGTCTAATGCTTAACCGACTGAGCCACCCAGGTGCCCCGAAAAGTTCAGTTTCACCTGTGTCTTACTTAAAAATACGTGGGCGCTCAAAAATGCGGAAGCACACATGGTGTGCCTGTACTTCTGTTACATTGTCCTGGCCTGTGCGCTGACTGACATTCTCGTGTTGTGTCTCCGTACTGGTTCTGAGAAAATTGCTTCAGAAACATTTAGGGCCAAGGAAGCAAAAAAGATGTTTTCCATGCCCTGAAGGCTCTGAGTAGCGAGCGGAATCTTGCTGCAGCCGGGAGATACAGAGTGGGGTCAGGAACTTGGTTCTTCTCTGCCCACAGGTCACTGCCCAGGGAACACCTTTTCCTGCCGCAACGGCCAGTGTGTGACCAAAGTGAACCCGGAGTGTGACGACAGAGTGGACTGCTCCGACGGATCTGATGAGGCCCACTGTGGTCAGTCCCCTGTCTGGCTGGTATCTGGTATCCCCCTCTCCACGGTCAGCTGCTGGCTCTGCTGTCTGGCCCGCTGCACACATTATACACACCACCTGGGCTTGGCATCGCTGGAGCTGGGCAGAGGAAGGGAGGGGACGCCTGTGAGATGGGTCCCTGCCGAAGCGTGATAAGCCTCGAGTGCCAGGAACTGGCGCTCTGTCCTATATGCAGTGGGATTCGAGCAAGGGAATCTCGCGGTGGAAGTGCCGTAAGAGGAGCCAGCGTTTTCTAGCAATGTTA